AATATGGCTTTGTACAGAACTTAATGATGACAAAAATATTTATGTAGTCAGTACTTGAATATAGCTGACAGTATTGTTTCCATGAAAAATATATATTATGGAACATAACATACATTAACAAAATTATGAAAATGTATTTTTCAAAAATCATGGAAAGGTCATTTTTTCTACATCCATATTGTATTCATTGTTTATTTCCTTATTTTTTCCTTTTGCAATATATAGTTTGGTCTGTTTTGATCTTTTTTGTCTGAATTTTGTGTTTAGATCTCGTCACAAATTAGTTCAAATCTTTTGTGATGTGACTTTGGAGCTTGCATTTTAATCTTTAACCACACACACACACACACACACATATATATATCTTCTCTTTTTAGATAACCTCTCAATAGGATTCCAACTCAAGTTAATCAATTTCTTACGTTAATGGTTGAAAAATATTAAACAATATTTTTTTATTTTTTGTCAAAAATGTAGAAAATTAAACTGTGGGGGAGATAGCAAAGGACCAAAACCAGACTTATTAATGGGTTGGAACAACAAAATTAGTATCGTATGTGATTGATTTGATGGTCGCCAAACTTTTATTTGAAGTTTGTCTGACTCCAACTCGGACTCGTATGGTGTTGGATTTGAAATGTCAGTTTGTGTTGACTTGACCAGCTCCAAGTCAACAAGTCAATGTAGAGCGATTTATCTCTCTCTCTCTCTCTCTCTCTCTCCTTTGTTAGTGTTTATTTAAGATTTTGAGATTAATGATTGCCTAATAAAAAAAATCTTCATGAGTTCAAATGACCCTCTTTATTTCGCTCTTTCTTTAATTGGTTTTGATTATTCATATTGTTAAAATGATCTAGTCAACGATTCGGATCCAATCAGGATGGATCAACCTCAAAGCTAGTCACAAAATATTGAAGAGATGAGAGATTGGATGGATGTTTCGGTAAAAATTACATTGTGATGTATCAGATAAAAAAGAATACTTAAGAGAATAAAAAATTTTAAAAATAGAAAGAGCATGATCCTTCAATTCTTCTATGTGCATTATTTGCTTTAAAGAGAGGACATCATTCATATCTCACATCCTCAAAGCAACTTTTCTCTCTTCTTTCTCAGGACAGTCTTCCAATGCTTAGCCACATTTCCTTACTTGGATTTCCTATATTCTCTTCTCACATGCTTGTATTTTCTTTTGAATATACAGCTTTAAATGCCACAAAAATTGAAGAGATCCACAGAAAGTGTAATGGTAACAACATTCCATAACAAGATTCCTTTCTGAAAGCTACTACTTAGCTACTTAGTGCTTTTGGAGAATGGGTTAACACTCTTGACCAGGGAAAGTTCATTGTTGAGGGTAACATAATCATTTTTGGAGGTGATTCCTTGTCTTAATCCCTTTCTGAAAGCTGCTACTTAGCTACTTAGTGCTTTTGGAAATGGGTTAAGAAGTGCTAACATAATCATTGTTGCTTGATTGACCAGGGAAAATTCTACTTAGTGCTAAAACTGTTTTATTCCAGGAAGACCTCACTGATTACAGCAGGATCTTTCTCATATATGCTTCTTACTAATGAGAGTTACAGATAAAGAGTGACTGCAGGTTCATCAGCAGCTTCAGTTCATCAGAAAAAAAATCCAACACAAGCATCAATTTAACAGTGCCTATTAATTGATGGAAGAATGTGTTCATGGCACTATCGGAGGCAGTGAAGTCACTGGATGGAACAAGTACTTGGTTCAGGGTCAAAAATCACACAATATGCTGGGAGATACGAAGGGTTAATGACCGGATGAGGCAGTGGAACATCTTTTTTGTCCTCCTCTTGCTTCTCCTTTGGCTTCTCCTCCTCCTTCTCCTTCTCCTTCTCCTTCTCCTTCTCCTTCACTTCCTCCACAGTCAGTATATCTGCACAGTGTAGCTTCTTCCTCAAAGAGCAGGCTAGCGCGACCGAATCGACTCTCTCCCCGATGATCACCAAAAGATCCCTCTCCTCTCCTTCGATCGATACTGTTTCAATGCCTGTATATAACATACATGAAGACCGAGTGCATATATCGTTAAATCGATGCCACGCTTCTCATCATCCCTCGATCATTTGGTTCAAGGGATGAGAAGCTTCTCATATGAAAAGCTGCAAGAACGAAGCAGTTATTCTCAGGGCACTCACCATGGTTCCCCACAGCAGTTTTCATGGCTTTCGATCGGCACCGGTCGCAGTTCATCTGCACTCTGATCACTATCTTTTGCTGCATGATTGGAGAGAATTAACCGACTGCAAAGAAGAGCAACAAACATGCATACACACCTTCATGATCTCCCAAGGCAGTCTGAGAAGAAGGACCAACTTCCTTCCATGAAAGACAGGTGCACATATATATATATACATATATATATATATATATATATATATAGAGAGAGAGAGAGAGAGAGAGAGAGAGAGAGAGAAAAGGTACAGAAGACTTTAAAACTTCGATTCTTCTGTATGCATGCATGTATATTCACACGCTGTTCCCAATCCAACCTTCTCTCTCACTCAACTTTTCATGGTGCACAGGATCATAAATATGGCATGAAAGATGATCATGAATGGTCTTAAAGACAAAATGATAGTCCATCTCCTTGGGAAAATGAACTTGATTAATTTGAGTTTTCGAAATACGTGAAGTCATCTAGATAATTGTGTGGTCACTAGAAGGGAAATATACATACTCTCGATCATTACTTTCTGATCTTACACTTTGGTTTGGTATCAGAACTATGTAATTGATCAGAGTTACTCTAATCCACTGTAAGAAGGCAAAATCATTTAGATAGAGTGAAGCTGGAATGCATTTATGTCTTGACTGGCTTGGACCGACAGCATCACTTCAAACCATCTTTTTTATTACTGTTGTTCTGTTCATTTCTTTCTTGCTTTGATTTCTGTATTTGGATCGTTTGAGTCACATCATCTAAAAAACGTTAGAAAGAGAAAAGGATAATTTACAATTACAATTAGAAAAAAAAATTGATATTTTTTTTTATAATTTATTTATCTAGTTTTTGAAATCTTCCAAAAGTCAGTAAATGTTGTACTCATCCATTTAAATATGCCTTGTTCCTATCTCACTGTTACCAATCTTCATTGGATACTATAAGTTAATTATTATTTAAAATTCTAACTTACATTGAAACCTTCCGAAAAATTAGTATGAGATTAAAAAAAATAGGAGTATTTTAAATACTTTCTCATATTAAAAGAAAATTGAATCTGATTTTTTGGATGGATATATGAAGTTGCTAATACCTATCGTGATTTGAAGAACAGCTGCAAGAAATATAAGTAAATGTTATGAAAGGCAAAAAAAATAATTCTCTAGTCTGTACTTTGTGATGCCATATCAATATGCAGACCAAGTTGATCTTGAGAAATTCTGCAGTCTGTACATTGTAATGCAATATCAATATACAGACCAAGTTGACCTTGAGAAAAAAACTAAGCCTATCATCGACATCATCTGTTCCAGTTCTCAGACAATTTGAACATAATTAGATATGTCAACCCAGAGCCAGACCATTCATTATCACGTTAGAAGAGAAGTAGACTTCTATTCAAACTTCTTGCCGGCTTTTATGGCAGCATGTATAGCAATCTTGCATTTTTTCTGGTTCTTCAGCAAAATCAAACAGTTAAAGCAAGACTTCCAAGTGCAGAGTACAGACTCCAAACTTCCACTACTTACCAAGGATTATTCAAAGGGGGATAAAATAATAATGTCTTGGGATCAAGTGTGCAAATGACAGAAAATTTTCATCAGAGTACTTATGAAAAAAAAGGCAATGAACACACATTTAACTTTAAAGGATGGAATTCCTTATTAATCCTCTTTTGGTTCTTTGCACATAAGCACAGTTGGAGCATCGCTGACAAAGTATGTACAATGAAGTCTGCCAATTAAAGATTTTAACGTTAATTTGATGCACTGAAAATCAACAATTTTGAATTACTATTATGAAATCAAAATTACTCTTGAAGGGGTAGTAACTAGCAATACAGCCTACTAAAGAGATGGCATAGAGCTTGGTAGAAGTCATGACCGACCCATTATTCAAGCAGAAATAACATTTTGGTATAACACTCTGAGCTTATCTTCAGTACTTTCTCTTGCATCAACCAAGATTGATGTGTACCAGATGTACCAAGGCATACAAGCCAGTACATTTTATTCAGGTAACACGAGCTTGTGTCATGCCCTTGGCTTCTACTTTTCACCATGGACACTGCATCAAACTGTGCAGACAAGATAAATACTCAGCATGGTATGTCACTGGAAAAAGAAAATTCATGTCAACAACAATTAGCACCAAATGCAAGTATTACAACCAAAATAGGGAGAACTATAGTATGAGATGTACATACCAAGTTTCAGTAGCCTAGATAATAATATCATGGAGATTCCAAGCTTATAATTTTCAAATTTGTAAATCACAACTTCGGAGTATGCTTTGCAATATTGGCTCTTAGAGAAACCTGCAATGAGATATAGACAGCATTAAGATTGGGTATGAATTTATTTTTTTGAGGAACCAACATCCAAACCACAATTTTTAAGTCTCATACTAGGCTATATGTCAAAAAGAGTAAATCCTTTGGTGTCTCCAAATGCTAGTTCTAGTGTGGTTTAAAATAACGGACGAATCAGTACATAACATTGGTATGCACCAATCCTTCCACGTGTTGGTAATGAACCATCAACCCAGTACTGCTTGGTCTACTAACCATTGTTTATTTTTTTATTGTTTTATTCAGTGAGAACAGGTGGTGTAACCAGGCATCTTGCTCAGCATCTTGGTAACACCCTAGTCTAATAGATTGTTGTAACTCAAATTGGATATCAGATTGATATTTAAATAATTAAGTTCTACAATCACATAAGTGCTGATTCAAATGGTAGCATCTCAATAAGGTATTTTCTGAGTCAGCACAATTCCACCAACCATATTGCTGCAATATACACGGTCCGAGTACGTGGATGCGTATCACTAGTATCATATGGTTTATGCTATGTGGTTTAGTGGCTGATTCATATATGTAGAATTATGTATCTGCAGAGATCAATGCTTAAAACCTTGATTGAAAGTAACATATGCTTTGGCATTAAATCGTTCCATCATGAGCTCTCATAGCTGCACAAAAAATATATCATTTCTATAAAATATGAATGTTGCCGTTTCTTATTGCTTTCAAAGTAGTGCAAGAATCTTAAGTTTAACCAAGAGGTCACACAAAGATGTTTCTTTTAAAAGGTCAATTTGTTTCAGAAACCCACTTCCTTATTTCAGTTCGCACACCTTATAACATGAAATATTGGATGAGATACTGCCCAGGAAAGGAGGGAGGTAGAGCCGTAGAGGTGTGAGGGGGTAGTCACCACCCCATAAGTGAAAGGACCCCTCCCCTCTTGTGCCCTAAATAGCCTTTGCTCTTCTTTCTTTACAAGTTTCAGTAGCTTTCTATATTCCTACTTTGACACTCTAGGTCTCTGCTGGCCTTTAAAAAGCTCCTTTGCTTATTTTGACATTCCATGTATATAATTGCTCAGAAAAGTCAAAACAGAACTAAACTTACCATTGTATTTAATATTGCATTTCTTTTCTGAAAAGTCTCATATTTGTTGACCTCCAATCACTAGAAAGGATGCTTCTGATTGTTCTAAACCTCTATTTCTTGTTCTTTGCTGCTAACTTCTTTTTTCTTCTATTACGAGATAATATTTTATATAAGCATATGTGTTTGAATATACTAAAGAGATTATTATAGTATGAGAAATTTTTCATTCATGTCAAGTGTTAAGATATAAATGTCCATTTTTTTCCCATGACAACTCTATAATTCATCCCTTTCTATATAAATGCTAGTCGATAAAACAATTTATCCAATTATAAACGTAAATTCCCTGGCAATCACTCCCATCAATTTATTCAATTAAATTTTCATTAACATTGGGCAAGACTATCCTTGCTTAAGCTCTAATAAGGGCTTTGAGAAAAAGGTACTCCTAAAAGATACAAATAGAAGCTCTGTTGACAAGGCTGCAGAAGTCTGAGTTAATTACAAATGAGCCTCTGTGTCTTCATGATGAGTTCATGATGTGGAGATACCCCTCTCAAAATCTATAACACAACTATCATAATAGTCAATTTTTCTCAGCAGAAAGTTGAGAAGAACATATTTAAACAATTAGCATAGTCAGAGGAACATGTTGGCATATGTTAATTTGGAAGCAACACAAGTTGAGGATGATAAGCCCATTTTCGTAACGATATGGACCGAATCAAAATGCGCGGAGGCAATTAGGGCTTTAGAGATCACGAGAGTTCTCGGAGTGTGCAGATGAGCGTACCGATCTTGAGGGGGACGACGGAGAGTCGTGAAAAGAGCAGGAGGGCGGCGACGATCTTTTCCGCCGCCGTCAGTCGAGGAGGAGACCCGTCGCGATCAGAGAAGCGCTCCGTCCCGTCCCTCTGCGGTGGCCAACTCAAGAGGGCTCTGCCGACTTGTGCAGAGTCGCCAGTTGGGTTCACATACTGTGCTCGCCCATGTTGGACGGAATCTTACCAGCCGTGTCTCCGATCTTTGATATCCTGACCGGTCACGTTACGGGAGGAAACAGGGCGGGACCCACCTAAAAAAGAGACGGACGGTATTGATTTGATTGTGGGAAAGATGAAGGGTAAAGATGGGAGATGGGAGATGGGATCCAGAACGGGACGTGCTTTTACTGGACGGGATTCAGACTCTTTTCTCGCTACGGTCGGCTTCGGCGACCGCGAATAACCTCCTTATATTTGAACAAAGCGAGGGTGGCGGACGCGTCAACCTCTCTCTCTCTCTCTCTCTCTCTGTCTCTCTCACCCACACACACAGAGCAACCGAGAGGAACAACCCTTGGCGGTTTCCATCTCTTCCCTCACCCTATTCGATCTCTCTTGCTCTCAGAGAGCTCTCGATTTTCGATCTCTTTGTTCGTGGCCTCCTCGTGTCGACCGATTCCTGGAGGGGAGGTTTCGGGATTTGGGATCCGATGGAGATGCCCCGCCCTTCCACCTTGAAGTATATCATCATCGGCGATACAGGTGAGTTCTTCTCGGTTCGCGAGCTTCAGAAGAAACAGGGCGAACTGCTGTGTTCAACGATATCTCCTCCACTTAATTGTGACGTTTTCTTTCTCTTGAAGTATATATCTATATTTTGAGTACTCTTTATATGTTTGCTAGAATGGTAATATCTCATGGCTTCCGTGTCCACTGTTGGTAATCCGTGAAATTAGCGCAAATTCTTTTTAATTTTCCGATTTCCTTCTCTGCTTTTGTGTGCATTTGTGATTTTGTTCCATCATGATTTATCTTGATAATAAGTCTTAATGCCTTTTGATATGGTGCTTGGAGTTCCTTGTTGCAATAAAGCTATGCATATGCTTATATTTGGTTGTATGGACTTGTCACTTTGCTAGTCTCTTACGTCCGGAATTGTTTCATAAGAAGATTGGAGTTCGTTGTTTCAATAAGCTATGCATTTGCTGATATTTTGTAGCTTGTACTTGTCACTCTGCTAATCTCATGTCTAGATATGTTTCATGGGAAGATAGTGCATGTTTTTATCCAATATTGTTTTTCACAAAATTAAATTTGATAAATCAGTCCTATAGAATTTCATGGTTCTTTTTTGTGTTACATATCAAATTGGATAGATTCATATATAACATTTTTTGCCCTGATATCTCATTTTTTGCTTTTATCTTTGTAGGAGTGGGGAAATCATCTCTTCTTTTGCAGTTTACAGAAAAGCGCTTCCAACCTGCAAATGGCTCGACAACTAATGTTGAATTTGCAGCCAAAATGATAACCATCAACAATGAGCCGATAAAGTTGAAGATCTGGGACACGGTTAGTCGCATTCTTTCTTTTATTTATAAATGCATTTAGTGTTTAGTGTTGTTTACTGAACTGTCTTTTTCTGCATTATTGGAGTCATTTGGAGTTGGTATAAGAACACTTGGTGTATTTCACAAGGGAACTCTCTCCTGTTTCTATGTTGCCTAACTGTCTTTCGCTTCTTCCATCAGACATCTGTTTAGAGACTTGTCTTCACTGCCATTTGTTCCCAGGAAATTGTGCGCATATCTAGTAACTTTATAGTACCATCATCTCTAACAGTTTCACGACATTTAGTGATATTAAGTAATTCTGTTTGATGGCTTAATTTTTCTAATGTTTGATAAAATTAAATTGGCAAGTGCAACTACGGTGGTGTTTAGTCAGAGAAAAAGAAAATTATCTATTGATATGATTGACCTGAACTTATCTTAATTAATATGGATTAATAAATTTGTAATCAATTTAGTTGCTTGATCGGGACAGTCGTTCATGGCAATAACCAATTAGGAAGCGGCATTGATCATAACTGATATCATTATTTTTACTGATAAAAGATTTACTATGAATTTTTTTTTCTGCTTGATATAAGATTTACCTCATCAACCACAATGATATATCATTTGACTCGCAGTCTGAAAACTACAGGTTGGCCAGGAAACTTTTAGATCAATCACCAGGTCCTATTACAGAGATTCTGCCGGCGCACTGCTTGTCTATGACATTACTAGGTAGTGATTACATTTGGAGTGCATTGTTTATAAGGTTTTGCTGAGGTGTTAACTTTGTTCATTCATGATCCAATATCAGGAGGGAGACATTCAATCATCTTGCAAGCTGGTTGGAAGATTTAAGTGAACATGCTGGTGCTAATGTGACAATTATGCTGATCGGTAACAAATGCGACCTGGCTCGCAGAAGAGCTGTCAGCACTGAGGAAGGAGAACAATTTGCCGAAGACCATGGATTGTACTTTATGGAGACCTCAGCGAAAACTGCACAGAACGTTGAGGAGGTGAGATAGCCTTGTTTCCTTGTCCAGACTGTACTCTCATCCTTCAATTAATCCAGTGTCCATTCCATTATCTGTCTTCCTTACAGGCATTTATTAACACAGCAGCAGCAATACGCGAAAATATCGAGGATAGAGGGTCTGATGTATTAGACGAGGTGAGTTTGATAACGTTGGGCCTGAGTTTTAAAATGATGAAGATATGCTGCTATAATCTTAGGATGTAATAAGTCTAACCAGCAAGACAGTGGGTTTCATGAATTTGCATTCAGTCAACAAATATAGGCTTCATCACATCAACTTCCTATTCCTGATGAATAAAAATACTTTTATTGAACTCCATATGATTGTAATTGTATTATGCATAAACCAGATGCCTTCTTTTTGTTGACTCAGAAAGGCAGAAGAAAATGATGAAAATTTGTAATATAGACTTTTTTGTACCATCCCACCTTTGTAACCTTGTAATCCTGAGAAGTGGAGGTTGGATGACAATGATGTGATCTAAGACTTCAAAAATCTATGCATTTTATTTCCTTGTTCATAATGGTGTATTGCTGACAATATGATTCCATGACATAATTTGTCCTGTCTTTTTGATATTATAATCTCTCGTCTTACAATCTTTATTTTCATGCATGCAGCTAATTATGACTCCACGCTTTATTTAATTAGTGATTGTCCCATTTGTAGTTCTTGCAGGATGCAAGAAAAGTTGGATATGAACCAGTCAGGCTTTCAAAGTGGGAGAGGGTTCCAAAGGGGGGTAGGAAGGTGTCCTCATCTAAAGCTGGTGGCTGCTGCAGCTGAGAGTTACTGCAAGAGTAATAAGGTCCTGCTGCTGCCATTGTTTCCTTTGGACTCCTCGTAATTAACATACTGTGGTTACTAATTTGTTGCACTGTGGTGGATATTGCACCATCCTTTTGCACAGGAATTAATTTAGATTCAATTCTGTGGTATGCCGAAGCTTGAAATAGTGATTGAATGGTCCATTTTTTGATTGAGTTGTTTTTGACTTTATGAGTCACCTAATTACTTGTGTTAAATGGATTGATAGACTACAGCATCACTAGAATTCTACCCTGATAGAAGGCAGTAACAGTTTGTAAGAGAGGAAGTGTTTGACGAAACAAACAGTGTTTGCAGATAAATTAGAGTGTTTAGTGGAAACATGTGCTTCACTGAAGAAGAATGAGGGGGAATCGAGTACAGACTAGAAAGCAAACAAGAACACGATTAAAGGTGTTCTTCTTCGGTGTACTTGTAATCATAAGAAGTAGAAAACAGAGCTGAAACAAAAGAACGAGCTAAACCAACATAAAAATGAAGGACTGAGCCTCGATCTAATCTTCAAGAAATGGAGGCCGTAAGTTTTAGCCGCAGAGTATGAAACGGCAAGCCGGGAAGACGATCCCGGCAACGCAAAGAAGGCAAATGGTGACGAGATTCTGCGAGCACCATTGCAGAGGCCGCCACTTCACCTCCACGCTCGAGCTCTTCATCCGCTTCGAGGTCTGCGGCTCCTTGGACAGGTCGAAGCTGGCGCCCCTCATCCGCAGCTCCTGCACGCACCTGGCGAGCGCCCGGCCGTCGGCCCGCTCCCGCTGCAGCAGCCGCGACAGTCCCCAGTAGGCGCGGACCCGGAAGTGGACCGCGCCGACCAGCACCAGCGACGTGAGGAGGGACAGGCAGGAGGGCACCCACCAGTCCCTGCAGGCTTCGCCGGCGACGGAGGCGGCGAAGAGGAGGGTGAGGGAGAGGCCGTGGAAGGCGAGGAAGAGGCATGACAGGTGGAACGCCTCGCGCTTGGCGCCGTCCATGCGGGCCTCGAGGGCGGCCGCGCGGCGGCCGTGGAGGTCCTCCTCGCGCTGCCACAGCTTGAGGAGGAGGAGGTGGCCGGGGCTCTCGGAGATTTGGGTCAACGGGTGGTTCTGTATGACGGCGAGGGCGTTGTCGTCTCCGTCGGAATGCCGGCGGGGTTCTGCGCCGGCGGCCGCAGGGATCTCGACGACATGAGTGTCGCGAGGCTCTGCCATTATAATTGGAAACGAGCGACCGCAAGAAGAGATTGGAATGACGACTAATTGGGAAACAAATGAGCGATAGAGAGAAGGTTTGAGTTGGTAATGGAAAGGAGGAGGAGAGACTGAGGAGAAGAAGGAAGGCAGAGGAGAGAGACAGGATGAGATGTTGCAGAGAGACCAGTTCGAGGGGGGTATAAAGGAAGGAAAGTCCCAACGGTCGAATTGGAGTAGTTTCGAGGAGATCGGGGGGTCATAAGGGTCTTTTCATTGGAAAGGAGACCGTTGGGGGCCTTTTATTCTTTTTTCTTTTTGTTTCGATCACTATTTTTCCCTTTTCACTCCTATATAAATTCTAGTTTTAGGGTTCTAAAATCAATTAGCATTCGCTAACGATCAAATTCGAATTATTAGGATCTATTTATGGCCGTGGCATTGGGCGATCGATCAAAATCGAACCATCCTCATCCAACCCAAGCCTAACTCAATTTGATCCTCTTGAGTTAAATTTCTTGACTCACAACGTCAAATCATATTGTTTCTTAATCGTCTGCCAAGTTAATGGATGACGATCAAATTCAACTTATCTGTTTATAATGGGTTTATCTGAAAATAATTTTAATTTTAGTTTTAATATTAATTTTGCTCAAAATATTTCTGTGACTTGGCGCTCTCTCCCGAACTGGAGCTGTCGCAATGGATCGTGACCACCACTCTTCCCGTCTTCTGCGGCGGAGAAGCATCCTCCTTCCCCTCTTCCTCTTCCTCCTCCTCCTCCTCCTCCTCTTCCTACCTCCCCTCCGCTTCGACCTCTCCTCTTTTCTCCCGTCGGTTTCACGCTGCGGAGGTTTCGGAGGCTGTAGGAAGAGATGGAGTTGAGTCCAAATATTTCCTTGCCTGCTGTTCTTATTATGGTTCTGGCGGGATTGGCGGCCGGTTCTACCTTCATCTCAGGTAGGATCCTGGAAGGTTTCGATCTTGAAAGAAAGTTTCTCACTTTGATTCGATTTTTCCCTCTTTTCGAGCTTAGAAGCTCTGATATTTCCGGCTTTTTGTGTTTGGGTAGGCGATGTGTTCGAATCGCGTGGATCGGCCGGGCGGAGTTTGCTGCAGGAGAAGTCGAGTACGAACTTTCCTCATTCTTTTATTTGGATTTTGGTATTCTTTTTTGACTGAGTTCATCATCCAGATCATTGATGATATGTTCTGTCCTTTTTATCCTTTGGCCTTTCATTTCTCATAGAGTTTATGCGATAAGAAAAATATTTGAATTCGGAGAAAAGGCACCGGTGATGTTGCTTAGTTGGATTCAAATGCAATCTTGTCTGGAAAAGTATTATATCTTCTTTTCGTCAAGTTTGTTTGAACAATTATTAAAGCTGTGGAAGGTAAATGGGACATATAGGATGCAAAATTAGGTACAAAACTGAGAAGTAAAAGTAACTTCATCTCCATCGTTTCTTGATCGTACCATGGTTGACTACTATAAGCTGTAATGTGTGATCTGGTTTTTTTTTTTCCTGCAATTGATATGTAACATGAGGAATAATTATACAAATCAAAGATTTTAGCTACTGATATGCAAAAATTAAAAAAGAAATTCTAACCATGGTTATCTATTTGGAGAAGCTTGCAGTATCACCATAGTAGCACCCCATACTGTGCATTGGAGAACAAGGACACATAAAGTCATCTTGAAATTGATTGTCTGAGGGTAAATAGTATGTTATATTATTCTATTATGTCTTTATCAGTTCTGGTCGATCATATATATAAACAAAAGTGTACAGTGTGCTGTATGACATGCTTTACCTTTCAAGCAAATGGTAATTGCTTGCCTTGTGCTAGCTTTAATGTTCTATTCTTCTATTCTGCTTTTCTCTGTTGTGGTCTATCATACATATAACAAATAAGTTTGACACACAACATGTTTTGTCTTTAAAGCAAATGATACAGTTACATGGAACTCAAGGCAATTAGTGCCTTCGGTCCCTTGCGCTTATACTTCTATTGTTTGAAATATGGCAACCTAAGACAGCCAGTATTTTGTTAGTTCCTAGTTTGTTACTACTTCTGTGTTGAAAAGATAGCAATGCAAAATGTGCATTTGTGTTTAATTCAATCATACACAATTAAAAAAAAAATCTAATCACGATTATATGGGAGTTTAGAGCATTGGTCATGGTAGAGAACTTGCATACGAAAACTAAGGATAGTGTACCAACTCTGGTGAAGAAGGTTGGTGTATCAGAGATGTGGTATAAGATAGAAAGTGGAGGCAAAGCAAAGAAGAGTGATAACTAGCTGAGAAGGGAAATAATAAGGTCAGTAGGCCATCCAAAGGCTCAAAACTTCAATTGATTTCAGGCCGATCTACTAAATACCCTAATTTATAATGTAGAAATTTAAGTTCTAAGCAAAATAGAAATGGAATGATATTGTCATCTACTATAATCAGATACTATTCTAAATTAAGCAGCCAAATCTCCATGGACCATAACTTAAATCAGTATCTTACTTTCTAAATACTCCTTCCTGATTGAATTAGTCCAATTATATTAAAATATATATATATATTGGATTAAAGAAAACATCAGAATTCCTAGATATGTATCATTGGAATTAGGAAAAGTGTAATCCAAAACTTATCAAGACCCTGGTTTGAACTCATGGGCTAAATCATTGGTAACCTAGGCAAGCTCAAGCACAAATTGGAGATACTTCTATATGACATAACCAGAAACACTACTTTTAGGTTGAAAGAATGACAAGTTTACTGTTGGTTCTAATAAAGAATTTCTATCGATTATATGCTTGTTTTTCCTCCATTTTCTGCAGTTATTTCTACTGGAACATGTTCAATAATAAAAGACATGACATCATAATCTTTGACAGTGAATCTTTCTATATTATGGCTTGCAATGGATGGTCTAACCTGTTAATAGAAGTTAATGCTTTCTTTTCTCTTGATATCTATGTTAGGTTGCCCTATCAGCTTTGAGAACATGAACTACACAATTATCACCAGCAAGTGCAAGGGTCCACAATACCCTGCTAAGCTCTGCTGTGGGGCTTTTAAGGAATTTGCATGCCCTTACGCTGATCAGTTGAACGATGAGACAAATGACTGTGCATCAACCATGTTCAGTTACATTAACCTTTACGGGAAGTACCCTCCAGGCCTTTTTGCTAGTGAATGTCGTGAAGGCAAGGAAGGGCTTGCTTGTCCTGCTAATCCCCCGGAATCAGAGAATGACACTGCAAGTGCTGGCATCATCATAATTCAGAGCTTCACCTCTCTGATTCTCATCTGTGGAATGGTTCTAACATTTCTGTGTTGTTGAAACTGCTAAGCTGTATATCCCTTGAAGCTGCATTATTGCACTGTCATTCCAATTATTTGATCTCCTTTGGAAGTTCAAGCCAATTCAGTTGTGGCCACAAGCTTATTAATTGCTTGGTCATCTGTATATCGACAATGAAGTATTCTTATGACTCGGAAATATAATTCTTGAGAAAATTGATGCCCACTTTTTTTTCTTTTTCAAATTATGGTAATTGGTGTGATTTCTAAAACTCAAGAGTAAGACTCTTCAGCATAAATGGTGGAATTTGACTGAGAACTGCAGTTGCAGTTGCTGAAACAAGTTTTTATCTTTTTCTTTTAACATCAGTGCATGTTATGCACTAACAAGTTGAGCCACAGCTTTCTTGGTTGTTTCTATGAAAATGTGAATTTGATATAAGATCTTATGTCTCTTTTGCTTCAGTGGTTTTGCTAAGACTTTGCACCATGTGATAATAGAATAAGTCTTTAGTAAGAAGCATCCCTGGATCTTTAACCTACTAGAAATCAGATAACCATGTGGTCTTGAGATAAGATATTAGACTGCTTCAGAAACATGGATAAAGGCATTGGAATGTGCATCTGAATCCTTCTCTGTGAGTGTAGGAGGGGAATATGGCAGACGAGCAAGATGGAGAGAACAGTATATGTAAACATTTGGTCCAACGGAAAATGAAGATTTATGTGGTATAGATATTACAGCAGATTGACTTGTAGCAAGGATTCCCGATAACAATGCTATTAGCACCTTCTTCATCATCTACAAAAATAAAAGCAAATGATGATTTGATACAGAAACATTTGCTCACAAGGCCAGTTGTCTGGTTCCAACTTGGAACAACTCATAGATCAGTTAGAAAACAGCAGAACATGGATTGGTGTGAGAAGCATTCTCTTGGCAAAGTAGGCTGGGGAAGAAATTTTCTCCTGATGATGATATCACATACTAACAGACAAAGTATGTCTGAATTCATCAGACAAAATAACATTACACAAACAGCTCCTACATCAGTCAGCAATAGAAGATAACATGCAACATAAAGTTGGTGTGAGAAGCATTTCTCTTGATCAAGTAGGTTGGGGGAAAAAAATTCATTGCGAACTTAATCCAAAGACTAGAATATACCACATATGACTCTGTGACCTCAGATTACTTTCCTGAGATGAGGAGGCCAAGTCAATGAACTGCAGACAAGAAAAACCAATGTCAAGTTGTGCAAGGTGGATTGACATTGCGCACTCTTTTTTCATGCTTATCCATCAGCCAACAGTGGTTGAAATCTCTGAGGATAACCATTGTACAGTGAGTGAGGGTGCACACAGTAAAGGATCTTTCTTCAGTGTGATGTATGACCCTAAAAACTCTCTTTATTCACAAGCCACCTTTGCCTCAGCTTACCCCCCATGGATTAGCTGACTAATTGTTATCACATTAGAAAACTATAATTTTCTTTCAAGAAGAAGTGTTTTTTCATTTGAATATCATTTTCTTCTTACAACATTTAATTTAATATTTATATATATGCATATATTGTATAGTTACTTGAGCTAAGGATCATAGGGAAATTGTATATGTTATCTAAACTTTCTTTTCAGAAAGAAAACATGGAATTTGATAAACTAAAGTTACAAATTGATCCACTAATTAAGTAAAAAAAAAATTAAAATTTTTCTTATCCTCAAGGATGAGGAACATGGCATGCAGCTATGCAACCAATGAAGCCTTTATCTGATTATACATAAAACACGGTCAACAAATAAATCTTGACCCTGGAATGGCAATTTCGTAATTTTAGGGAGCAGACACGAAGAGTCGGTAGCATATGCCGACCATCACATTTATCCATATCCTGTCCCTCTCGTCCCCTTATATTTCTCGTTGGTAACTCCAATAAAGACAATAAAAAAAGGCCCAAAAAAAGCGCCGTTCCGAATCAGATTCTATTTATTCCCCTCAATTCCTTCTGCTTGCGGTCGGAAGGCGTCCGATTCTTCGGATTCCTAACCCCGGATTGAAGCCACTCATCGCCTCGATCGAGATCTGCGGGCCTCCGGAACCCTAGAACAGGTGCGCAGCGGATAAACAAGAAAATAAAAATCCCCACTTTTTCATGAAATTTTCTGCTTGGGTTGTAATTTATCTGTGTATGAGCTGCCACTGATGGTTGTTTACTTTCTTGATGATGTCAATTACGTTTATTTCTGCGAAAGTCTAGATTTTGTTTCCTATTGTTGCTTCGTTTCACGGATCTCTGTTGGTTGTTTAGCTTCTTCTCCTTTAGGTTCCTCAAGGTGTTTTCCTTTTTTCTTTTTTCTTTATGTTTTCCGTGAGGTTTTAAAGAAATTGATACAGAAAAGGAGTTAAAAGTTGACCACTTACGGGGTTGATTATATTGATTTCATGTAACGATTCGTAACCTCATATTTGTTAGAGATCTTGAGGTCCTTTTTAAGTTACTTTTTGATCTTGGAATAAGCTTATGTAACCATCTTCTTTTTCTTTTTCGTCTTTATTTGAAATTCTTCATATTTGGTTGGCGTTCTTTCTGTTGTCTTTGCAATTAAATTTGAACAGAGATTTTTTGTTATTCCCCGAAATATTTTCTGTAAGTAATTAATTAGTTTATCGGTATGATTATAGAATGATATCCAGAACATCTTTCTTAATGTTCTTGTTTGCGAATATCAGTAAAAAAAATGGCTGATTTTCTTTTGAAATTTGACTTTATGGGATAGTATTTTTTTTTAAAAGTTTGTTTATCACATATTACCAGGGAGATGAGGTAGATTTTGGTGATTTCTCCTGGTTACTACATGAGTCGTAGTAGCATTTCCAAGGTACTTAGATAGTTAGATGTCATCTATCCAAGTTATCTATCCAACCTTCTATTCTCATCTGTTCTTGATAAGCAATACTTGTAAATATTTTACTGTATGCTACACTAAGATTTAAGCATTTACAAACTAATGCTAGTTTGGATTAGTTGCATTATAGTCATTGATAATCATGTTTTCTATGTTTTGGGAGTTATGCATACACTGCCATCTCATTGTTATGCATAATCTTCAAATGAACAAAGTGTGGTATAGAATAGAATTGCATCTTATGGAACCAGCATACTGTGGAATAAGGGTGGTGTATTGGTTATTACTGGAAGTTTCTAATATGTAGATGTGTGGTCATTATTGCTTTTCTTTGAAGTGTTGAAAAGTCATAGATGAGTGGGCATTATTGCTTTTTCTGAAGTGTTGAAAAGTCATTATATTTTGTTCATCAGGGTTTCTTTAAGATTTTTGTTATCTTAAATTTTTTTTGGTGTATATTTCTGTGCAAATAACTTTTTTTTTCTTTACTTGAAATTTGATATGGCAGAGGCATAAACTAAATGCAACATTACCGTAGTGACAATATGGATGAGATGGCAGAGGATTATGAAATGGGTGATGTAGAAGATGATATGTATGAAGAATTTCAAGGGAGGGGTCTAGGAGATTCTGATTCTGATGATGAAGAATATGGCTCTTTGGTATGCTTATATCTCTTCCAGCATTCTTTTAAGTTGCTTTTGTGTTTTCAAGGCTTTCTATTATCTATACTACTACCACCTCTTTGCAGTTGCACATCTTGGATAGTTTGAAGAATGCTCTTCTCGTTGTTGTACCTTAGGTTGCTACAGTGGTTGTTTCAATTCTGATATTTGTTTGCAACTTAATGAAAAAGGATTTTGAATTTTGTCAGAATGGAAGGGCAACTGATATATCTGCTGCTCAAGCAAGGAAAGGAAAAGATATCCAAGGAATACCATGGGATACACTAAATATTACACGGGAGAGGTACAGGAAAACGAGATTAGAACAATACAAAAACTATGAGAATGTTCGAAATTCTGGGGAAGCATCAGAAAAGGCATGAAGCTTTGTTAGAAAAATAAACTTAACTTTTAAAATTTTCTTGTTACACTCCTTTATATGTTCATTTTTATGTAGGATTGCAAACAAACTGATAAAGGTGGCATGTATTATGAGTTCCAGCGAAATACAAGATCTGTGAAATCAACTATTCTTCATTTCCAGGTGAGCTAATATGGTACATTGTTGGGCTTAGCTATGGTTTATTCTGCTGTGTTGCAATTTTATTTATGATATTTTGCTGTATCTACATCCAGGTTTGAGCTGTGCATTGATTTGAATTCATTAGTTCACATCATGAAGCATCAATCAGAATTTCCTTCAGCCTATTGATTTAGGAGACAAGTAGTTTATAAATGGCTTGGGTCAAGTTTTTTTTTTAGAAAGCATACCTATAGAAGTATTTTATAATTAGTTCAATTTTGAAGCTTTGGTACATGGAAGGCAAAATTTTGCTTTTAATTGTAGATGAGGGGGATGCTATGTGATGGAAGATAATAATATTTAATTTGTATTAACTAAAATCTGGCTCTTGTTTCTTTTCAGAATCTTGCTCGATAGCTACAGTTTGCTATGTGTAAGATATATATCTGGCCTCATAGCATATCTTTTCTTGGCTAAGCATGTATGTCACGCTTTATGCCGATATCTTGCTTCTTGGCTCTATTCCAATTTCATGCTCCTTCATTCTTGCTTTGTTTTGATATCCTTTTCATGAATTTTCCTTCTTTCTAATGATCTGTGTTTTCTTGTACCTCAAAGGCGAGTGATGTCTATCCCTTTATCTGTGTATGTATATCTATATTTATTGCACTCCTTTTGAGCAATATCTTTTGCCAAGTTTATTTTTGTCATCAGTGAGTTGGTTGTTCAGCAAAGCATGTCAGCGTTATTCTACTATATGTTTGTACATGAATAGAGGGAATCATAAACCGCACAGATTATGGAAGAAGATTGGGAGCCCAGGAAAATGCAGGTAGACAATTCCATGATGTTGTTTCTCACAAATAGAGGCGAACATAGACTGCATGGAGCTTGAAAGGTGTTGACATTTCTATCTTCTTGTTTGAGCAAGAAGTGAATAGCATTTAGTTCAATGCATGTTTATGTCGATTATTCAAACTGAAAGGTTCCTGGTGCTTAGATAGTAGTGTTGGAATTTGTTGTTTTATGAGGGTGGACTTTGCAGACTTTAGATTTAAAGATATGGCAACATTGTCAGCGCACAAGCGTGTCAAGAAATGAGTTATGTAACAACAGGTTTTTTTTTTCTCTTGTATCTATGACCAAGAAGTTTTCAAATATGTGTAATTTGTTTGAATATCTATCATTTAGCCGTGGGAAAATTTTACAAAATGTGCAGTAGTAGATTGATTCGATATGTTAATTTGGATCCTCCTCTAGCTTATGTTTTGTGAGTAGTGGGATGTGGTGTTTCGGGACAGTCTTTTGTATTTATATAAAAATGTTCTAGTGAGTTAGTTGAATACACTACAAAAGGAATTCTGGAAAGATTTGGAATACTTGAAGAAGAATAGATTGTTAAATCGAAGTATTGAATAGTTGCCGCATACCAGGTCATGTTTTGTGGTATAGACTATAGACTATAGTATAGAGTATGTACTTTGAGTGTGTGCTTACCATGTGGAGTTGTGACATGTCGTGGCACTGCACGGTTTGCACATGCATGCACAAACACACATCAAATAGGTCTTGTGTTTTCACTCGTGACCTTGGAATCTGATGTCATGGGTATGGCAGATGCACACATGATATAGTATGGTGCCTACCATGTAAACCCATCACCAGAGCAGACAGCATGCAAGAACATAAAAGTGGATGCTATTCATGGAAGAGTTGAATGGTCACATCAGGAAGTAAAAAGAGCTTTTTGGATAATACATCGAGACATTTTTATTTGAGGGAGCAGTGATATAGTTCTGGATCTTGTCATCTTGCGATATTTTAGTTTCCAGTTCATGTAATCTAGGAAAGAGAGTAAAAAAGTATAGCCAATTAAACTTTCCCTACTAGGATGAAAGATAGGAGTGATGCAAATACTTTGAAATCAGGATTAAGTTGACTTCAGAACTTAGACTAGGTACTTGTGGATTGATATGCCTAATGATGTTAGAGTGGAAAAGTCATGAATCAGTCTGACAAAGGTAGCTTGACTATAAAGATATTTAATTCCTGAGTTTTGCATCTAGGAATCAGTTGTTAAAAGAGCATGCGTTAATGTTTTATGCTGATCACTGTACTAATTTGAGCAGTGAAGATGGTGTTACAGTTAAGGGTATAGGAACATAGATTTGGGAGCTACGATAGAAGGCGTCAAAGGTTACAAATGAATAAAAGATGGAGGAATTATATGGTATTTAATAGGGTCAAGCGTATGGTATAGTTAGACGTTGACATTACTGCAAGTGTTGGAAATAGTATTTTGTTGAAAAACTCAATTGCTGATGAAGATGCAAAGTTGAAAAAAAGTTAACTGTAGCTGACACATCCCTATAAATTTTTGGTATGCAAGGGATCAATGGATAACTTATTTAACAAAATTCTGACAGTGAGTGCGTGCCAGATGAATGATGATAGCACTTTGTTTCTTTGTTCTCAAGGACAACTGATGATCTGAGATGATTTAAATAGAGGTGCCATGAGATGGTGAAAAAAATCAGGAATGACCTGGTTAAGAAAGAGTTGTGTGGTATTACGGGCATCATCTTCAATGGGCTAAACAACTAAAGGTTATCCATGTAGCTACCCTTGAATGGTTGGAATTAAATGATGTTTCTGGTTATCATTGTGCTCAAGCTACTTGCTGTCAAATTCAAGCTAGGACAGGAATAGGACTAACACTGACTCATTGCACAGGTTATCTGTTTTAACAGGTTATCAGTTTTACAATAGCTGCCAGCTTTGATCTATAGCAGTCAGAAAAAAATTTCTGGTTCTTGAACATCACTTTTCATGTTCTTCAACCAATTTTATGTACATTGAGGACCAAACTAGGAGGTCTTACTGCATAATTATCCAGATTTGCATCCATATCTAGTTGCTATCAATAGGAGCTTTGTTCAGTGGTCTCCCATCTGATTTTTCTCTGAGTGAAACTTCAAACTGTTGCAGTCGTGTTGTGTGGAAATATCCAAACCACTCAAATTATGATTGTTGCTGACACATCTAAAAGATGACCGTGCTTGTTCACCATTCCTTAAATATGTTTAGGTCCATTTATATCAATGTCATCCAGAATGCTTTTGAATATTTCATATTTTGCAGTTCTTTTACCCTGTATAGGAAACTCTTTGTTACTTATATTGCATCATATGAGCCTAGGTTCTGATATGTTTATTTTTGAAGTTCACTGCAAAACATTGGACTTAAGTGGCTTGATTATTTTACAAATTTGCAGCTAAGAAATTTGGTTTGTGCTACATCAAAGCATGATGTGTACTTAATGTCACACTATTCTGTGCTGCACTGGTCTGCGCTAAATGGTGAGAAATATGAAGTTATGAATGTTTCAGGGCACATAGCGCCATGCGAGGTATGTTCTATTCATCTGCTATCCTATTTTAATGCTTCTGATGACTGATCTCGGTAGCTGTGATCTGTATACTGAAATTTTGTCTGCATTATTCCGATCCACCTACTTCCCAGTTAAGCTTACACAAAAAGTCTCGTCTTTGGCTGCAGAAACACCCCGGAAGCTTGTTGGAAGGGTTTTCTCAGACTCAGGTCAGCACACTGACTGTAAAAGATAACTTGCTTGTGGCAGGAGGATTCCAAGGAGAACTTATCTGCAAGGTATTTTATTTTTTTTCCTCCATCTATGTATGCAAAAATTTGTGGTAGTTTGGAGGTGTGTTAATACAGAGGTATTTCTACTTCTGTGTTATTCCTTGACTTAGTGACTGGTTAGCTGTATCTCTGTCAAAGTAATTTTGCTATCATTATTAATGCACAAGTATGACCAACTTGTTTCCCTTAACTGGTAAAGATTTTCATGGGTGCTTATAATACTAATTGCTGTGTGGTTAAGAAAAAAATGTTTCTCTCATGGTGATGTTGATTTTTAGGGAAATGGATAAGATGAAAATGCATTCAATAGATATTTCAAGCATGGAAGTATGCATCAATGTTCTAGTTAAGCACAGGTCCACTAGTGTGAAAGGTAAGAAAGGAAAAGGAGATTCCTATTTTGTGAAATTTTGGTCCACAAGGCATTTAGTAGACTTGGTTCATGAAGGGAAAGTGTTAGAAGTCATATATTGGTAAATGTGGTCCATTGAAGTGGGCACAATGGATAAGTGGCATAACCTATTGAACTGAAACATGTGTACAAATAGAACTTCAAATTGGTGCATGGAGTAAGTGTGTCATGAATGTCTGGAAAGTCTAAATAACTGCACAAGCATATTGAGAAGGCGTAGAAGTTTCAAAATTTGAGGACCAAATGATCAAAATCCTGCGCACCTGCTTCAATTCATGTCTAGAAGTAACTGAAGTACTTGGCTGAAAAAGATTGCAAGTTTTTAGAAAGTATTTATTTTAACTGCTCAATTTCTATCTGAATCTTCGGTGAAGGTCTGCAGTGGTTTCAATTTGTTTACAAGAGTCTTAACTGTTAAATTGGAATTGATATCTTATTTTATTGGTAATATAAAGTTATCTCCTTATCTGATGATCATCTCCCTTTGCAAAATCTTTCTATGTTGGGGAAGGTCCTATATGTCACACTAATTGTCTGTACTCCACATTATCGGTTGGAATATCTCTATGTGACCTAGACCACATAACTTTTTACCAGATCAGTCTTAATGCTATTGTGTTAACAATCTAGCCTATATATATTGACCAAGTTAACTGGATTTATGCTGTACCTCACTAGGTGTTAGTGGTTTTGCTTCCTGTATGGCGGTTAGACCAGCTCTTGCTACAGAAAGACAATCTGAAAAGTGGTCTATGGCGATGTTTGACTTACTGGTCCGAGCCGATGTGCTCACCGGCCAGCAGCACTGCACGTGCCACCCCATACTGGTGTACCGACACATGGTACACTGGTGCATACCAGTGTTTCGACGAGGAAGAAAAAGAGGTTGAAGAGGAAGGTACAGTGGAGAAAAAGAGGAAGAAGGAAGAAGAAAGAAAAGGAGAAGAAGTGCAATGAGATCTGGGAAGTAGTGGCAGCAGCAGCAGCATCGAAGCACGAAGAGACAGTGCCGCTGCAGCATCGCAGCGGTGAAGTGGTGAAAAGGCAGTGCCGTTGCAGCATCGCAGCCACAAGAGGCGACTTCACACACGAGAAGGGCCCTAATCTTCTTTTTTAATATATTTTTAATGCTGAAATGGACTGGGGCCCACCACTTTTTATTTTTTTAATATTTTAATTCGGACAACCAGAAACGGGGTGGTCCGTGTATCAGTCCATGCCTGGACCAGTATGTACTGCCCAAGCCATACCGTTTCGGGTGGTACAGCAATCCTTGGTCTATGGTTAAGTGTTAACACTGTCCTGAAGTTGCTAAGAAATGTTTAATGCTAAGCTACCATCATTGCTGACTTCAGAAATTCACTTGTGTGGATTTTTTATGGCTTTGAAGGTGAATTTTACTAAATTTTGTGGTAGAGGAAGCTGGAATGTGATAATGTATGGAATTTCAATATTACTGGGTTAATATTACATTCTTACTTGATTTTTCTTAACATTTTATATTCTGATGTAATAAGGGCTTTTTCTTTCAAGGTTACATGCATAAACAAAGCAAAGAATCTTCTGCTGGATTTGCATGTAGGTTGCATGATTTTTTTAATCTTATATACTTGTGAAAACTCTTAATCTTCGTATATCTATACTTGTAATGATATAAGGGATCTCTAGGGTAGGTTGCATTATTTTTTTAATTTTTTATATATTTATAAAATTTTTATTGCAAAACAATTGCTCTGAACCTGCTGGAGCTTTTCACATGCATTGTGAGATCAATTTCTGTTTGTTTGTGTATTGTTGATAATGCGAGAAATACTTTTTAGAAGATACCAGAACTCTGCTTTCCTGTTGGCAGCATTCACTTATCATGTGCCATCATCTTAAACATGCTCACAAGTCTTAGTGTACTAGGTCTTTTTGGATATAGTCCTTCTCGTACAGTTTGGACTTGTTTAAGGAATATTGTTCAAGATAGATCTCTTAAACCTTTTTACATAATGAGCATGATGTTGCTTCCAAATCTTTACATAAAAAGTAGTTTAATTTGAATTTGAAGTAATAGTCATTATCCTCGACGTGAGTCCAATTCTATCTGCATTTCTTTTATTTTTGCCTTCTTTCTGAAAAGGTAAAATTTTCTTCGTTCTTGTATATCCTGATTCGTGAGACCATCTTGTGGAACAACTTTCACTTATGTGCTTGTTTCTACCCCTGAATCATATACTTATTTTGTAAAAGAGGATGCTAATCAGGTACTTGTTTTCTGTAATTTGAATTATGAACAATCAATAATGTTGATATGCATTGTATGTGATAGCCTTTCATCTGCTGTACAACATTGCTTGTACATACATGATTGCCAAAGAGAATGTTATCTGATATTATTTTACCTTAATGTTTGAAATAAGTTCTTAGATCGGGAAGGAATAAGCTTTTGCTGCCGGACAACCTACGATGACAATGCAATCACGAATGCGTTGGAAATTTATGACAGTGCCAGGTAATTTGTCTTTCTTGCCACCATCATTTGCATTCATGTCTTTTACTGACTTGAAATTGTAACATACTCAGTGGTGCTGTTCACTTCATGTCTTCAAATAATGACTCTGGAGTACGAGATTTTGACATGGAAAAGTTTCAGCTTTGCAAGCATTTCCGCTTTCAGTGGCCGGTGAATGTAAGTGTCAAGCGCATTTCCTGTGTATCCTCTAGTTGTCAGGTGCATTTCCTGTTTATTTTCTAGTTGTGCTCCACTTTTGGCTACATAAACAATATTGTAAGCTGTCCATGGTAGTCCATTGGAACCTGACATTGGGTAGTGTCACTTACTAATTTCTTGTGGATCATTTACATAGCACTCATGTTGTAATTTAATTTCATTTGCAGCATACATCACTAAGTCCTGATGCAAAGCTTGTTGTCGTTGTTGGAGATGACCCTGAGGGTATATTGGTTGATGCTCATACTGGAAAGGTTAGTTGTACGAGTACTGCACATGAACTGATGATATAATGAACACAGTCATCATTGAAATTTGAGATAAATATGTATGGTTCGGGTTTTCTTTTTAGAATAATAGTTGAAATCAAGGTTTGCCATACCACGGTGTGCTGCTTGGTATGATCGGTACATACTAGTCTGGTGGTATACCTCACGATATCATGCGACGTACATCGGTACATACTATACTGATAGCTGGTCAGTACACCGGTACGGACCGATAAGGTGAACCATGGTTGGAATATCATTTTCTTGTTAAAACTTAGTTTGGTACCAAGTGTCGAGTGTGACTTCTAATTTTGAGGAGAAGAGTGCTTTTTCAAATATGACGCACCTGGAATTTCAAAGGTCATCAGTCCTATGATTTTGGATCAGGCATCATTACCATTTTCTTGTGTATTGGACAAAAGAAAATCGAAAAACAGTGGAAATGTTTCTGTGCTGAAAACTAAAGAGTTTGCTTTTGTGTTTTTTGTTTGAAAGGGAAATTTAATAACTATGTAAGAAGTATCTAGAGTTTGTTACTTTAGAACAAGTTGAATGAAAATCAAGTTCGTGACCCTTGGTTTTTGCAGACTGTCCATGCTTTGCTAGGTCACTTGGACTTCTCTTTTGCATCAGCATGGAATCCTGATGGCCAGACATTTGCCACTGGTAACCAGGACAAGACCTGCCGCATCTGGGACATCAGAAATCTCTCCAAGTCTGTCTCTGTGTTGAGGGGCAATCTTGGTGCCATCCGATCAATTCGCTTCACATCTGATGGTCGATTTATGGCGATGGCTGAACCTGCCGATTTTGTTCATATCTTTGATGTTAGAAATGGGTATAACAAGCGACAGGAACTTGACTTCTTTGGTGAGATCTCAGGCATGTCGTTCAGCCCAGATACAGAAGCTCTGTTTGTCGGGGTGTGGGACAGAACCTATGGAAGTCTCTTACAGTATAGTCGCCTACGGAATTACTCCTACTTTGATTCACTATTGTAGCCATGTATAACCAGGGTTATTACTTGTTTCATGTATGCATGTACTCGGATCTGTATAACCGGGGTGATCTTGTCGCAGCTTCTTGTTGTTGTTGTTGTCGTCATCATTGTCGTATTCAGATCTGTATGTGGAACAAAGGGAAGAGGGAATAGAAGAAAGAGTGCAAAGGGGATGAAAGACAAAACTCAGATGTAGCTCCTTTTTTTAGAGATTTGATATTAACAGGGAAACTATAAGTGTATCTGCTGTTTATTCACTGTTAAAATGTATAAAGACATGTACAGATGCAGGACTAGTAAGTTGAAAGAAATTAAAATTACTTCCTGCTGTGCTCTTCTGGTCAGCTGTCTCCATAAAGTTGGAGTTGATTCTGATGTAATCATAATCCTCATTGTCATTCTTGTATTTGTTGTTCATCAGAATATTTTCTGCTTCCTGTTTTGTGTGGTTCTGCTCTTAATAGCTCTTATTAACGCCTCCTATCCTTTTCTGCAAATGTATCAGCATGGTTCAATTGGGGTGATCTCGGTTGCTTTTTCCCTTTCTGACTTGATGGAATGATAATAAAAAACCATGAAGCAAATATTACTCTCAATATGTAACCCTCTGATTTGTACCTTTGAATTGTTCTTGTGAAGTGTTTGGGTGCGAAAGGTTCACCAAAGCATTTTTATCCACACACACAAAAAAAAACAGTGGTTTAGATAGTTTGATAAATGGTATATGACAGTGCACTTATCTTTAGTTCATTCTCATTAACAATCAATACTATAAATAGTCCTTTTATTCCATGTTTTGATGTTAAAAAAATAGAGTTGTTATCGTTAATGTTGTGGATAATAATCAATCAACATGACTGCACTACAATCTGTCACACCTTGGATGAAGTTTCTCAATTAAGTAGCCTGACAATCTATCTTGGCCAATTAATTGAATTTTTTTTGTGTCTTTTGATTGCAAAATTGCTCTTAAAAAGAATCAAAATTTTTAATTTTGAGAGGGTTATTTATTTTAACCAATCATTTAAATGCCAATTATTTAGATTTCTTAATTTGAATTATCCATGTTGGATTCCCTCCATCAATTAGGAAAATCCTCATTATCCCACCCTCTGTTTGTTTCTATTGGGAGCTGCTAAACCAACCCTGTTTAATGTGTGGTCATCATATGGATGAGATCTTTCAATCATTTTGTTTTCTCTTTGCTTTGGCACAAGATTATATTTCTTTGTGCACAAGGAATTCTTCAGTGACTTGGTGCTCTTCTTTCTGCAATTTGAAAACCTTGGTTTAACTTCTCCAGTATGTTCTTGTTTCAAGAACATTCATTCATGTCAAACTTGAAGATGTGAAAGAAAGAAATCATGGGTTAATTTGAAGCTATGACCAGTCTCATGTTCTTTTTACCAAAAGAAATAATTTTATTAACTCAAAGACTCGATTACAAAAAACAAAAACAAAAACAGTAGTTCTATAGAAAATTACCGACCAGTAAGCAGATCTATTTGCTTCCCCAAATTTTCTCTCTGATACAATTTTGCATCTATCAAGGAGTGGTCGTGCATTGTTTACAGCCTCAAACGACAATTTTTGAGTCGGATTTCGCATGCCTACTGAAGCAGATATCGAAAACTGTGGTGTTTGATCCATAGGAAAAAGGTAGAGCATTTCTTGGCTTCCATCGTTGATTGGCTTGTGTTTGGTCCTTCAGCAGCTCAGCTCCACCCTCGGAATGCCTTCTTCATCACCTTGCTGCAAGCTCTCTATGATCTGTTGAAGCGCGAACTCCTCATCCATAGATAGCTGATTCATGGCTTGCTCAAACTGTGCCACTAAATCTGGATCGAAGACACTGCTATCGTCATCTCTGTTATCTCCGTGTCTTGGCTCCGGGAAGACGAAATCGCCGAACTTTGGGGTGACATAAGAACCGGGGGAGATCAGTTGACCGCCTCGTCGAAGCCAATCCTTCAGACTACCCGTCTTCGAGAACTCGATCGATGGAAGTTTGAGAGGTGCGAGCTCCCTCGCCATGGCTTCTCTCTTTGATCCGGTACTGCTTCGCTCTTGAGGAAGCTCAAGACTTACATGCGGCTTCTCCTTCGATGGGTGTCGTTGAGCTGCTTCAACAAGATCTTCATCCTTGTGATCTGATGCCGAGTTGAAGTTTGCAGGAGCTTTTAATTCATCACCAACGACGAATTTATACTCTTCGGTCTTGTGCTCATCACTCTCGCTTTGTTCTTGATGTTCTTCTTCTTCTTCTTCTTCTTCCAAACCAGCCAACAACTCCCAAGTATTGATGATCTCTACATCCGAAACCTCGGTCTCCGGATCCACAGTATGCTTTTCCTTATCGATTTGTTTGGTGCCCGTGTGCTCGGTTGATGATACAGACGAGTTCTTCTCAGGCTCAGCAACCGAGTTCGCAGTGCACGGAAGAGCAAGGACTCGGTCTCCACCATTCTTAGAACCGAACAGTTCTTCCGATCCATTTGATCTCCCTTTGAGGCTTCGTTTCAGTTCTTCGTGGAAGCTCCCCGATCTCGTCAACACTTTGGAAGAGACACAACCCATGGTTCACCGATCTGCAACTGGAATCAAGACAAATGATCTACTAATTAGATCACAGCTCAACTACTTGAAGGAAAAGAAACACCTCATGTTATAGTTCATATATGGTCACCAAGAACACAGCAGAAATGTTTATTGGTGATTTAGATATGAACATATTAATCTACAAATCATCACAGCCCTGAAAAAAGAAGACATACACCATAATCAAAGAACCGATGCTACATACATACCTGATCAAGAGATTCATCAAAACCTTATCCACGAAATCTCTCTAAACTTGCAGTGGTTCTCCCATCATCCATCCTCTCAAGAACATCAAGTCAGGGCAACAGCAAACATGCGACCTATCATGATCCTATAGATGAAGAAACTTCAACAACCCTCTATCTAGATTAAGCATGAAGTCAGCCTCCAAGTTTGATTCCAAGCCTCCAATATTGCATCCTTCTTCCACACTGTTCTCAAGCTGTTTCTTTAATGAATTTGGTCAAACATCAGACTTTTATTATCGTGCACCGTTTTGTCTTATACAAGCAGATCGATTAAATTAAGCTGGAAAATTCTTGAGAAACGAAGACTTGGTCGATATATTCTGATTACGACTGGGAGACAAAGCATGAGTCAAACCTTTGAATCAATGTTTGGTGAGAGCAGTGATGTCCTGCGACTCTCTGCCGCCGGCACCGCAAGACAGGGCTCATGTTTGGCAATCTAGTGATGACTTCGCATCGTTTAGGCTCGCTCACTTATTGGTTCAAATTGTTGAAGCTCATCGAATATCCATAATTCGATATGAGGTGTTATATTAGGTTTATTGTAACACTAGAAATGGGAATGTAATCTTCAAGTTGGGTTTGTTGGATTTTGCCGCAACGTGGGGTCTCCATGTTGGTGAAAGGGTGTAATGGAATGCACCAACTCTTGGATCACGATACGTGTTGGTCACAAAGACTGTAGTGGTGGTGTCGGTGAATGAGCATAATGGAACCTACTGATCAACAACTACTAACTCGACACGGAACAGATTGTTTGAACTTACTATTTACGTTGATTTAATAAAATAGATTGAACCGAATTGGATTGGTTTAGATAATCTTTTTTCCTTTGGTCAGATTTTGATTATTTGAGATTGAGGCTGATTCGAATCCAATTTGATCATTTCCTCGAGCTGATCTTAAGATAAGTTTCACCAATCCGATCCGAACCCCATGCAGGTACTCCCGATAATATCCTTCTGATACTTAAATCAATAAACTTGTTGAATAGATTTGGGATTGTGTATATCTTGGGGATCATTTTTTATAGTGGGTTTCCAAAGTCATTATTTTTGGATAGTGCATATGCTCACGGAACGTGGTGCGTCGATCTCAAACATAACCGTCATCAACCCATGCTATGCCCGAAATGATAAAGCGCTTTGACACGTGATGAAGATTAATCAGTAGGGAGTGATTGGTTGATTCACTAGGACGGATTCGTCGAGTATTAGTGCATTAACTATGTGGTACCAAGGTATCAATCACACGACACTAGATGTCAATCATATGATACTAAGGTGTTAGTTAGATGGCAATGGGTGTCTACCAAGTTGTATCGAGGTATCAGACACTTGATGTCGATGAGTCTATCGTATGGCACAAAGGTGTCGATCGTATGACATCAAAATATTAACCACGTGTCTTCGAAGAGTCGACTATATGACTTCGAGGAGTCAACCACGTGATGCCAATACATCGATCATGTGACATTAAGATATTGAGTAGATATCGACTAGATAATATCACACTTATCAGCTTTAATCCGAACCTCTTCGTTCTCATGGTTTCTTATAGTCATTGTTTTAAATGATTCTAATATGAGCGTTTGCCTCAAACTTACACAATAGAGTGACCATAATATGATTCTAATATTTATTTTTAATAAATTTGAGAAAATCTAAATACATATTCCATTATCCATTTTGCCTTAAATCTATACAGTAAAATGATCATGACATGATGATGATAATAATAATAATCATATAATTTTATTTTTGAATCTTGAAATATTTTTATTCAGATTTAACTAATGTTTTTTTATCATCACAGTGTATATCCAGGCGACATTTATGATCTTTTCCTCACCGTGTGAATGATGAAGGTGGAACAGTTCCAAGAACAAAAAACATTGGCACGCTCAAATTGAATTGAATTGTTACGAAAGGAAAATTGAATTGATTTATGGAGTTAGAACAAATCTGGGGTCATCCATTTGTGTTCCAAGTATTTTACATTAATGATTTAATCTGATTAAACTCAAAGATCACATCTTTCCAATTGACTTGCCATCTGCTCACATAGACAAAAGCACTTAATTTAGGCTGGAAAAAAGCGACAACTCAACTGGCATGGATCCTCTTATTAATCTCTTTCAAAACGAGCAAATTCAAACAACAACAATTAGTGTAAAAAATGATCATCGCTTCATGCTCGAGATCTTACTAGAGAATCGAAAATGGTGATAGAATATTTCAAATGATATTTTTCTTATACTAACATGATAGGTCATGCTGATCGGACTCCGAGTCCTCGTAGACTCGAAATATCAATCATATCAATAACCACTTTTTAAAGATGAACAGATATAAAAAAAAATTTCATATCAAACTTTTATAAATAGATCGATTATTTTCGCAACTCAGAGTCGAGTAGCGTTAGGGTTTCTAGGGTACCTAATTCTCATGATAAATGATATTAGTCATATCAATAACCACTTTGAAAAGATGAAAGAATATAAGAAAATTCATATCAAACTTCTATAAATAGATTGATTGTTTTCGCAAATGAGTAGGGTTAGGGTTTCTAAGACACCTAATTCTCATGATAAATGATATATCAATAACCACTTTGAAAAGATGAAAGAATATAAAAAAAATTCATATCAAAACTTCTATAAGTAAATCGATTATTTTTGTAACTGCAAGCGGAGAAGTGTTAGGTTTTCTATGGCACCTAATTCTCATGATAAATGGATTTACATTCTTTGATTATGTAAATTCTTTGATTATAATGAAAATATCTAAGTGAAACATAATATGAAAAGGTAAAATTTTCACTTATCTTAATATACTAAATTCCATCAAAAATAATGTGAAGAAGTTTATTGTTTTTCTTTTATCTCAGGGAGAAAAATAATCTAATATTTAACTTTTTCCTGAAATTTCTTTTTGTCATTTTTTTTCTAAAAATCAAATAAGAAAAGTTCTCCAAATCCTCGTCTAATTTCTTCAGAGAAGAGAACTTTTCTTTTTATGAGATACTTATGAAACGTATCATACGTTGATTTCATATTTTACTTGATTTGTTTACCAATATCCATTTTTGACCCCTAAATATTTATAAATCATTTTTTACTTTCTTGTTCTTTATTTGCAAACATAAATGTCTTAATGCAATGTTAAGACTCCTATTGTCATTTATAATTTTATCCATAATATTAAAATATTTTTAGGGTTATCAGTGTTTGTGGCAACCCAAGTCAAATGTATTGACCATTTGGCAAGATGGGTGATGCTGATCCATCTTGTAAGCTACTCTAAGCATGCATTAATACATGTAGCTTCAAACGTTCTAATGGTGTATGCTAATAAAATCATGTGGATCCAACTTGTGAGTTACTGTAGTATGCATTCATTCGTACATGCAGCTTTAAATGTTCTATTAAGAAATAGTTAGGATAAGATCGTACGGATCCACCTTATAAGTAGTCACTCTAGCATGCATTAATCTGTACTAATTACAGACAGATTTGAGATCATATGAAGCCATGTGCATGCTTAATGAAGCCAAGCATGGCAACACTTAAACTATTTGGGTGCACAGAATCATGCAATATTACATTACATTGATCATTCATTGAACGAACTACACATGGATGCATACTGCACAACCACCAATCATAGAGGCTTAGCAAACTCTTGAACCCTAAAACACCACTTTGTTATCTCCAAGTCAAACCGCACGGTTCAAGAACATAGTTATGATGCAGAAGAAATGATAATGCTTGATGATGATATTTTCTTGATATTATCTGGCAAAAAGAGACCATGAGAATGCACACTAAACCAGATTACAGATCGATCGTGATAACACGGGGAAGAAGATTAGAATGATTTAGTTTTAGGGTTGCAGCATTCCACGATAACAAAAGTAGAAGGGAATGAAATGAGTCCAAACAACAAAGTCTCCCACAAAATGGGTTTCTGTGCTTCGGATGCCAACTTGCTGCTACATTACAAAGCCAGAGGAAACCGAGGTTACAATGAAGAGAGATACAAGGGAAACCAGTCAAATCCATTCACTTCTTTCCATCTACCTCTAATTCTCCAACAAGTATCGCCTTGTAACAAAGAAAAGGAAAAGACAAGAAGCTGCAATCGAAGTAAAGAGAAAAGTTGCCTGGCTTTCCCATGCATGCCAATGATCAATGAGTTGTTCATCTAAAACCAGTGTCTCCGACGTGCTTCTGCGTATGAGAACCAAAGAGAGTCGCCGAATCCGTAAAGCATCCCAAGGAGAAGTCTCCTGTGAGATCCAGCATCCAACTCCAACGTCATATTCTTCTGAGACGACGCAGACAAAGATGGAGAAAGAGGCAGAGGATAAAGAGGAAGATGAAGAGGAGGAAGAAGACAGGTAGACAGGAACAGGACGCTACAGACCTATGACTGTACTTATGCTACTTTGTTTAAAGCAAGAGAGAGATTTATTATTTCTAAGGAACACATTGGAGAAAATCATGGAGGGATTAAAGAAAGGGGATGAGAGAGAGAGAGAGAGAGAGAGAGAGAGAGAGAGGAGTCGAAGAGGAAGGGTGTTCCCGAGAAGATGAGTAGAGTCATGTTGACTGCAACAGGGAGAGGCCCATCCATGTTTGCATGCATGATTTCCTCTAAGACGGAATGCATGATTTATTGGCTTATTATGACATCTTCTCTCTCTCTCTCTCATCGTTTTACCAAAAGGTAATCAAGTACTTGACGAGTAGTTTTCTTCCCCATGCACGGATGTCGAAGCTTAAGCTGTGGTTAGAGATTTGGGAATCCAAACCTGATGAGAGTAGCGGTCGAGTGTGTTTGCAGTAAGCTTATTTTCTTTTACCTATGTGACAAATTTTCATGTGAAATAGTATTCTCTCTCTCTTGGGTTTAATTAATTACAAAATGTATACGCGTGCTATTGAGTATTATTATTATATGTAGGCCAATTTATTGGAAAAGAAATATATTTTCTATTCATTTTTTACCACCCTTTTTCTCCTCTTTTCTCATTCACCTTTTCTCTTTCTTCTCCTCGGTTCGATTTCATGCTTCCTCCTTCCTCCTTTATTGCATTCATGACATGCAAGGCAGTATCGCTGCATGCATCATATATTGCTGCATTTGTGAAACGTTCGTTCATGGGCATCACCAAACTATTGGAGGAAGATGTTGTCATTGCATCGTTGAAGCCTTGGCTAAATCAATGAATCAATCATTCAGTAAAGTTTAAGGTATTCTTTGGGGTTTTTAACCAAATCGATGCATTGTTCCCGTATTCGTTATAAGTTGAAGCATTAATATTACAAAGTTTGTCTTTTAGATGAAAGTTTGGATACATTTTGTGAAAAATTGATCATGATATTTTTCTAATTTTTTTTAAAATTTTGATATTTTATCATTCTAAAATCTTTAAAATAATAATAATAATAATAATACTAAGCATCTCACAATTATGTATGTTTTAGTTACATTGTGAGAGTAAATTTTAGTTGAGTTAAGATCATGTTTCAGTTGAGAAACAATTGGGATATAATTAATTACTCTGGAAACCTCAAAAATAGGAAAACTACTAATAATAATCTTATAATTATGTCTAAATAATTCTAGAAAAATTTGGATTGGTTCGATGAAAGTTCAACGAATTACACTCGTTTATAGATTCAACAAAAAAAAAAAAAACTCAATTTTATTCCATTCTAAAATCCCTAAAAATAAGGAAAAGTACTACTAATCTTCTAAATATCATATCTTAGTAATTATAGAGAAATTTGGAATGGTTTAGTGAAAGTTCACTGAGCCACGCTTGTTTTTGAACTAAGTTATACTCGTTTGTATATTCAACTAAAAAAATGTTTAATTTTGATAATTAATGACTTTAAAATCCTTAAAAATAAGAAAAATCATATCTTAGTAGTTAAGAAGTTTGGATTGGTTTAGTGAAAGTTTATCATATTACATTCGTTTTTGAACTAAATTACACATATTTATAGATTCAATCCAAAAAATTTTCTCAAATACGCTATGGTGGTACTGCTTACAGGCAAATGTATCACCCATCCCTAATAGTGGTATCATTTAGCCCAAGTGATGTTTTGAAAAAAATTATAAATAAATTATTTTTAATGTTAATGATCTTAGAATCCTCCTAAACAAATATAGAAAACACCCTACGAATCATTTTATTAATATTTGTTAGTACTTTTGTAGGAGTTTAGATGCGTCTCCTATAAATAAATCGAGTTACACTTGTTTTTAAAATTAAGTTATACAAGTTTGTAGCTTGTATCGAATTTTTTTTTCAATATTAATGACCCTAAAATCTTTAAAAATAAAAAATATTTTACTAATCATCTTACCAAGATGTGCTAATACTTTGTAGGAGTTTAGATATATCTTATGCAAATCGACTATGTTATATTTGTTTTTGAACTAAGTTGCGTAACTTAATCACAACTCGTATAAAAATTTTCTTTTGATATTAATCATTCAAAATCCTTGAAAAATAAAAAAACTATCTCATAAGTATCTTACCAATATATCCTAATAAACATCATGACTGCAAATATATCATTAGTAAAATCACAACAAGAATATAAAAAATAAATATACTCACGTTGTAGGCACAAACCAAAAACGTATTCAACTTTCACAAGAACGATGTACAATATCACAGTAATACAACATTAACAACAATACTCACAATAATAAATATCAAAGGATTCACAATAGTAAACATATCATAGGATTCACGTGATACATCACAACAAAAACGAGGAGATGAGAGAAGGGCATTGAGGTTACATTGAACGATTGAAAAGTTACTAGTTTAATTGAGTTTAGTTAATGATTTTTTATTATTTATTATAAAAATATATGCCCCCTAGGTAAAAATAAATCAGAGGGATGTCATCTAGTAAAACATGAGTGGTGTAAATTTTTTTCAGTAAAATATCATTATATATATATATATATATCATTTTTGTCGTATTTTGTGCTAATAAAGGTGCATTTTTAGATTTATTTATTTATTATTATTTTGTTTTGAAGCCGGTATAGAAAGGGCCACTATGGGAACAAATCATAGATCGTATATAATGGTTGACCTTGAGACCTTGTGAAGCCAGTCACATTATGCCACGTGTCGTGCATCGCAAGATGATGTAGCCGGGATCGATCTAATTCAGACGTGCGTGAGTCGTCCACCATGGACGGGTCGTCGGCTAAGCCGGTCCAGGCCAGGCAATAGTCTCGGCTCGGCTCGGCTCGGCTCAACCGTTCATCCTCTTGTGGTTCCGTCACCGCCTGGTGGCCTTACATGACGTGGAGTAGACAGCCCGAATTTAATATGCTGATTTCTGTGGAGTCTTTGCTCATGGTGAGTGCTCAACATGTCCCGTCCAATGACTTGAACTATATTACATTGTGCTTGCCATGTTGGCTTCGACGTACAACGATGATCATATATTATTATTATTATTATTATTATCTCATAAGAATAAAGTAAATATTGGGATGTCTCGTAAAAGATTTAGAAAGACCTTTTTTCGTAAAAGAGATTTTACAATGATATTAGACATATAATGTATTAATGTCTCCATAACAATAAGATTATTCATTTACGACCTATGCAAAATGTCTTTTACAATGTTGAAAAATAGATAATAATTAATTTTTATCCTTTCACTTGTTTATTTTTCATAATTAATGATTAGTAGAAATCAATCTCGTAAAAGATTGAAACTTGGGATGGAATGAAATTTCTCTCCAATTAAAGTCATTTAATTTTTTCTATATTTTATTTATTATTTCATATAATTAGAGGCATACTAATCAATATTTAAAATATTAAGGACGATTAAGCTCATTCTATCATTTATGGCTTAGATAATCTATAATTTCTAAATATAGTTTATATACTAATAACCCTAAAACATATATTTTTTAATTTTATATTATTTTTTGAATTTTTTGAAAACAATATAGAAATTAATACTAATCTTTAATTTTGCTATTAATAGTTATAATTAGCAACACTAAGATTACAAAGAGAAAGCAATCTACAAAATATATTTATTTGGGTGTCTCTTTTTTTTTTTTCTTTGTTCAAAATAAAAATACAAATTCCGAGGATGACATAAATGTACACGATGCAAGAAAAATTATGACATCAAACGATTTGAAGGAGAATAAACTATGATCATAATCAAAGATTAATCTTTGTAATCAAGGTGATAAAAATATGTGCATAGAGTACTAATCAAAGATAAAGAAACAGAACAATACAAGAGGAGGAAGACAACGCGCCGCCTTCAGCCGCCGCCATAAGCAAGCCGACAAAATCATATATAGCTCGAAGACATGTAGCGCTCTTCGTCTCTTCCTTCCGCTTAATGTTCTTCTACCATTTCACAAGAGACACATTTAATATATATATATATATATCGGATACATTGGAAATTGCACAAACCATCTCCCTACTTCCTGTCACAGCATCTGTAGCTTGTCTTGCTGGTTGTTTGCTGTGTTTGAGCCGATGGCAATGGGAAGGACGAGTTCGGTGGGAAGGGTTTCCTCCATCCTTGTGGCAGCGTTCCTCTTCTTGCAGCAGGTTACGGTCATCGCCCGTAATGCCTCAGCTTGGCTGACACTGACCGGTACTCTCTCTTTCTCTCTCCCTGTCTTTGCATTACCCATCGGGATGTTTTATGCCCTCGATTACTTTTTTCTTTACCTTCTTCGTTAAGAAAGATGGACTTTTCCTCCATTGATCGAGGTCAGGGATTGTTATATGTTCTATGAATAATCAAAATCTGATTTTGTAAAGCTATCTTCTTGAAAATTTGTTCTTTGAGTAAATAAGCGCATTAGTTTCTGACGTGAATCCTTTCAGCTTTTGGAATGCCAGTAAATGTTTCTCGGTCTCTAAAGTTCTCTTTGCAATGTGAACAGGGCTTCTATCTTTAGAAATCGTTTTGATCAGAAATTTCAGCCTTTTTACGCTCTATTTTTTGTAAATGCTTTTTCTTGAATAATCCTTTTTTTGAGTAGATAAGCGTGTTAATTTCTGATGTGAATCTTCTCAGCTTTTATATGTCAGTAACTGTTTCTTGGTTTTTAGAGGTCTCTTCACAATATGAATAAGGCATTCATCTTTGGAATCTTTTATAAGAAGATCAATTTGAGATCGATTGGTTGGACTTGAAGGACTTTGTCTTCCTAATAATGCTATCTCGTTGGAGCTTTTCATGCTTCAGTGTTCTGTCATGAAAGCTAAGTGGTTTCCATATTGCAGGTAATGCCCCAGCAATTGTAGCTAAGGGTGGCTTTTCGGGATTATTTCCTGATTCCAGTCATGATGCTTACAGCTTTGCCCTTATCGCTAGTTCACCAGATACAATTTTGTGGTGTGATGTACGATTAACAAAAGATGGTCTTGGGATTTGTCTGCCGGATATAAAACTAGATAATTGCACTGATATCTCAAATATCTACCCGAATGGGCAGAACGTTTACCTTGTCAATGGTGTGAATACAACAGGCTGGTTCTCTGTGGATTATAGCATACAGGAGCTATCGACGGTTGCTGGTAAGCAACAATTTGTTCTCATTGTCTGTATTTATCAGATACAAGATGTAAAGATTGCTTAGAATGTATGGATATAAGCACATAACTAAAATTATGATGAAGTAGAATGCATGCAATGGACGAAGGTCATTATTTTTTTGTTTTTCATATGAACATGCATTATCACTAAAAAGGCATGTGTTAAAAATAATCCAAGGAATTTAAACTCTCTGCATGTACCTCCAATTATGGTTTAAATCACAAATTACTTCTGATTGTTGAATAAATATTATTTGGTTGTAGTTAAATACTTCGGTAATGTAAACAAGTTTTGATTTCTGTAGTACATCTATATGTCGGATCGCATTCTGACCATCATTTTTCTTCTTTGCAGTGACACAATCAATTTATTCTCGAACCTTTAGATTTGACTTTAACAATTATGCCATACTTGCTGTTGAGGATGTGGTGACAAATTTTGAGCCACCTGGTCTTTGGTTAAATATACAGGTAGAACATTGGTTTCAGCAACATGTCATGCATTCTTCATTTATCATAGTTTGCTTCGGTTGCTTCCAAACTAACGTTTCACGTTTGATTGCAGCATGATATTTTCTACGGTCAACATAACTTGAGCATGACAGAATATGTACTTTCTGTATCAAAACGTGTCCCCGTGAACTACCTTTCCTCTCCTGAACTGGCTTTCCTTAGCAGTATAGCTGCAGATTTTAGCAACAGTGACACAAAGCTCGTGTTTCGCTTTCTTGGCAAAGATATTGCTGAACCTTCTACAAGTCAAACATATGGTTCTCTGCTGAACAATCTTACATATATCAAAACATTTGTCTCCGGTATCCTTGTTCCAAAAAGTTACATTTGGCCAGTAACAGCTGATAATTATCTACTACCCTATACATCCATTGTCAAGGATGCCCATAAATTGGGGTTGGAAATTTATGCAGCAGATTTTGCAAATGATAACACTTTCAGCTACAACTATAGCTATGACCCGTTAGCTGAATACCTTTCTTTTGTTGACAATGGTGTATTCTCTGTTGATGGTGTGGTGACTGATTTCCCTATAACTCCATCAGAGGCAATAGGTAACCTACTCTTCCTTGTTTAGACATGATAACATCAGCATTTGTTACAGGAATATTCCTACTTTATCATTTCCATAGGTACCACAATAAGCTGATAATTTGCAATAGGATGTTCCACATGCAGTAACTAATCGTTTTATTAAACAAATTACTGTCACAGATTGCTTCTGATAAAATTCTTATTGAGACCTTTCTTCTTGGCATTGATAATGTTGCAGATCATATTACTGATATAGACTGCATGCTGATATAGGTTGTTCCTTGGTTATGTAATCACTTTGCAGTATCTCTCTTCCTTTTTGAAAGAATCATCAGTTGCAGTATCATACCAATACCGAAACTTGAACTCTGACTGTTAAACATTGGCCTGTGTTGTTGAATCTAAAATTCACCTTTATATTTTGAGTTCAGAACAAATGAAACTTTCCCATGGTATAGTAAACATATAACTAGCTACATGGTCATCATGAATTGTGATAAAATTAACAGCTGGAAGAAATAAATATAGCATCTCCGGTGATAAATTTTAGCTTTTTTATAAAAAGATAATATAACAGAAAATTGTTCATGCTTTCTACTTTAAAAGCCCTTATTTTTTAGCTAGATAATTGTGCCTTTCTTTAGGTGATGTTAACCGTTAATAATGCACAGGTGGCGATACACTATCTGATAATTGATTCAGGGGTTTTAATTACTTTTGGACTGTGATAGTTTTTTTTTCTTCTTTTGTTTAAAAGGCCCTACACATCAGCAGCTACGTCTGTAACTCCTTTGTTTCAGCAGTTTGTCCTAAAGTCATTTGGATAAGCTCTACAATTGCAGAAAGAATCATATATTCTTTTTAAGGCTGTAATACTAGCTACTTTACTCTAAATAGCAAAAATAATTATATGGACTTCAACAAAGAGATAGAAGGAAAGCTATCTTCAAAGACCGCAATAACAGTTACCAAATTCTGTAATATCATGGTGAGAACAATTTTGGTTTCTGTTGGAAGTTTTCTGGTGATCAAGTATTTTTGTTCTCAATTATGAAACATTTTGTGAGTCAGATTCTGACTGACTAATGTAAGTGCTTATGTTAGCCTATCTGTAGAAAGCTTTCGGTCTCCTCTTTAATCTGGCATGGTTGTTTCATTGTATAGCCCACTTTGCTGCCAATCTGGCTACTAATGTAGATATTTTTATTATACATCTTATTGATGGATATTTCAATTATTGCAGGTTGTTTTTCTCATATAAACAAAAGTGTCATCGATCATGGTATGCTGACTAGATTCAATTGCTAGTTCTTTGGGTTGCCAGTATTTTGCTGGAAGTATTTGTCACTTAATGACTTGGATTTGTCCTGATTCTTTAAGTTACTTTATGTTTTCAGGAAAGCCATTAATCATCTCACACAATGGGGCCAGTGGAGACTATCCAGACTGTACTGATTGGTCTTACCAGAAAGCAGTTGATGATGGTTCAGATTTCATTGACTGCCCTGTTCAAGTAACACAAGATGGAATTGCTATATGCATGAGCTCTATTGACCTCATAGTTGATACTACAGTCACTAAGTCACCCTTCGCTTCTCGTTTATCCAGTATTCCAGAGATTCAGAATACTCCTGGAATTTTCACCTTCAATCTTACATGGGATGAGATTCAAAAGAATTTGAAGCGTAAGTTTATATATTTACCATTAGCACATTGATTTTAACTCTAGAACTTAGCAAGTTTACAAGGTGTCTGATTCAGTGACATGAATAATTTTATGTCATCATTTGTTAAATTCTTCCGAAAACACATTTAGAATTAGTTTCGGCATTTATTTCCCCTAGGCAAATTTGTGAAAACTTTCTAGTTTCTGGAAGTTGTTTATACTTCAGAACATTATTATCATTAATTCCTGGCAATGCTGCTTGAAGTATCATTAGTAGAATCATAATCACATGGCATAATTGATAATTGAAGTGATTTTGGCTTTAATTATTCAGCATGTGTGTTGATAACAATCCTATTATCCTTGAGATTGTGCAACACAACATGTTTCTGTTGAATTTACTTTTTCCTTAATGAAGCTCCAAGTTTTTAACTTTGAAGAGGAGCATTGAAGTTTTATGTGACGAATTAAAGTTATTATTCAGTCAGCATTCTTATATCTGGTTGATTGGTTAGAATCCACTGTCAAAAGATTGTAATTTTGTTGTTTCAGACATATTTGGCATGACTCATTATACTTAAGCGTTGCTAATATTCTAACAAAAAGCTGTTAAGAAAAAGCAGAATAATTTTCATTGTAGCATTTGCTTGCTTTTTCCTTTTTTTTTAAAAGGTGGATAACTTCATTTTTATTGAGAAAAATCAGAAATCAAAATCACAGAGCTGGAATGGATAAGGTTGGTAGATCATGCTGATCCCACCCTAAATAGGCATTGTAACACAGCAAATAGTTTCCACTTAAAAGCAAGCCGAAAGTATGCCAACTTCCTGAACTTCAGATGTCCCTTAATCTTATGAAGGCTCTTCTAGAACCAGAAAACTATCAGGTGTGTCATCAGGAAAAAGATAGTGCAATTTTTGTTTCTTCTCTCAACCTGCTACTGATACCATGATTTGTAAAGAAATGTATTTTTCCTGATCATGCTTCCAAGAGAAGCATTTTGTTCCTGAAGATTTTGGAGTTTCTAGCAGTCCAAATACTGCATGAATGCTAAACATCCTAGATCTAGCTTGTCGCTTTTGAGCTACGATAGTTTCTTTCTTAATGTACAACTTCTGAATCAGAATACATCATGGCTGTTTGTCAACTCATGTGCTCTTAATGGTACATGCTTTAAAGCTGGGTGGTTTTCGGTTGCTAGCATAGTAGAGTTGGTCCAAATGAAATGCCATGGTATTCTTGTTTCCTTCCTAATATCTCTCTTGTGGCTGTTTATATATTTTACCTTGAAAATTTTCCTGAACAGCAAGTAAAATTCTTGTAGATAATTCTGCACTCCTTTCTTCCAAACACAATAACAGATTTTCTACTTGCACGTGGCAGCCATTATTTCAAACCCAGAATCCAAATATCAACTGGTGCGAAATCCAAGATACGCAAATGCCGGAAGCTTTATGAGATTATCTGACTTTCTAGCCTATGCTAAAGACAAGCCTCTCGGTGGAGTCTTGATCAGCGTAGAGGTGAGAAGTATGAATAAGTTTTAAATCCTTCAAAGTTGTGAAAATCTAAATCTATTTGTTAGCCATCACTGCTTTGGACTATCAAGCTAGTTATTCTGACAAAAGCAATCACACCATTAGCTCCTTTTCATTTAACTGCATAAGATTAATGCTTAATTTTCAAAGCTTAGAAAATCATTTTCCTGCTTAATCTGTAATTTCTGAGGATTGACACCATGTGTTGAGCATGCAACAAATCCGGGCTCGCAGAGTAGAAAATTGTGCCTGAACCTATCATGCTAGTCATTTTCCAGGGAACTCTAGCATATGAAATGTTGTTGTCCCACTTAATTTTGGTCAGTCACGAAATGTTGTTCAGAATTCATGGTACAAGTACACATCCATCTCTGCATCAGGGACTGCGATGCATTAGCATGGTCACATGGTCATTCATGCTCGAGTTGTGCAGCATCACTCAGTAAGATCTGCAAAATCTAAACTGAGAGATTGATACAATTCATCTATCTGCCTAATATGCCCATATGTGGCACACAAAACATTTAAGCGCATGCAAGATGCCAGAGTGAGTGAGTTCATTGAGTCGTAAAGCTTACATCTTAACTTCTACAGCAAAGGCTATTTATGGCGTTTCAGCTATGGTTTGTCATACTTAAATGCACAACTGGGGAACATGTGTGCCGTTATAATTGTTAGATTAAACTGTTTTCAGAGGAAAAAAATCTATCAAGTAGTTCTCTAAGTTGATGGTTGTAGTTGCTGTAGGTGTGATTATATAGGTCTGCATGATCATAATAGAAAATTTGTTGCAGGACACTCGCAGCCAACGTGAAGAATAAATTGTCTGGAATGGATCTTGACATGCAACCAAATATATTAGTTGAAATTTTGAATTTTATGGTCTTAAAACTTCATAAATTATACAGAAATAACACTGTACACTATATGGTAGTCTATACCTGTCAATACTAGATGTGCAAGTGCTTCACCAATCAGCTCTGCTAAGATCTTTTTCCAGTTCCGATACTGTCTTAGCGATCTCTATTTTCTGAGACTTTTGTCTAATCTGACATTTGTTTGATTCTAATGACTACAGTATGCAGCATTTATGGCTGAGCAATTAGGGTTCAGTGTTATTGATATGGTCATCTCTGCATTAAGTGATGCGGGTCACAACAACCAGACTGCTTTTGAAGTTATGATCCTGTCTACAAACAGTTCTGTTCTTGTGGAGTTCAGGCAGAAGACCAAGTTTAAGCTTGTTTACAAAATTGACGAATCAATTCGTGATGCTGTTGCTTCTTCAATTGTTGAAATTAAGGAATTTGCTGATGCTGTGGCCATCGATAGGCAGTCTGTTTATCCCGTAACACAACAGTTCACTACTCGCCAAACTGACATTGTTTCCAAGTTGCAAAATGCAGGCCTTGCTGTGTATGTTTATTTGTTTCAGAATGAATTTGTAGCTCAACCATGGGACTTCTTCTCTGATGCAACTGTAGAGATCAATACTTATGTTCAGGGGGCTGGAGTGGATGGGATCATCACTGACTTCCCAGCAACAGCTAGCACATATAAAAGTATGCTTACTTTATCCTCATTTCTTGTTGTTCTTCATATGATGATTGAACATATACTTGTAGAACTTCTTGGACATGGCAATTTACTGATGACATGCTTCACAAATAATTCAGCCATGTTATTTATTTATTTGAAATATGTCCAGCAAGAATTGAATGTAGCTACCACTTTGAATTTGCAGGAAATTCTTGCAGGAAAATGGGGAAGAATGCACCGAGTTACATGAGTCCAGCACAAGGTGGTGGTCTACTACAATTAATTAGTCCACAGTCATTGCCACCAGCCCTATCTCCGATGCCAGTCCTTGATGTCTCCGATGTAGTGGAGCCGCCTCTCCCTCCTGTGGCTCCAAAACTGGCACTGAACCCTGCTGCAGCAGATATTGCACCATCTCCTTCGCAGCTCTCGGGCGCACTGCGATTAGTTTCTTCATTGTTCGTGTCACTGGCACTGGCCTGTGTTTCTCTCCTGCTTGTCTGAGTTCTCGATACTCAATTTCATTTGTGTGCATGTACACCAGCAATTTCGGCCATCAGTGTCAAGATGCTAATCAGATTATTCCTGTTCCTGGCTATTCTTTTTGTATGAAAATATTAATATTAATTTTACATTATGGAGCTTCATTCTTCTGTTCAGTCTACTATTTTGTGAGCATCAGATCTTCCTGTGGAACTTTGACAGTGTGTGAGCCATATATTGATGTTTTTGTTTTCTTACTTCCATTACAATTGTTTGGAAAAACTCCGAGAATGATGGCATGTTTATATATAGACTTTGATAATCTAAATCAATATGCAAAGCTCTTGAAGACTTCTGAACATATCTACTTCAATATGATCAGAGCTACTTTACAAGCCTCTTAAGGGATGTTGAGGATGAAATCACCAAGAATGCTACAAGTTGCAAAATGCAAGGTTCTTGGTGACTTATTAGCTTTGTGTTTTTATTTTTATGATAATTAGTTCTTGAAATAGTTTTGATCATATGTTCAATATATATTTAATAATGAAACTAGTTGTGATATTGATGTATGATTGTTTCTTAGAATGGAATTAAATGAAAAATCCCATTTCACAGGTGTGTGTGTGTGTGTGTGTGTATATATATATATATATATATATATATATATATATATATATATATATATATATATATATATATATATATATATATATATAGGGTGTC